AAATTTTTATTGTTGTCATGCAGCCAATGGGTTCTCTCTCATCTCCGTTTTACACATGAATTTGTTGTTGTTGTTGTTGTTTAGTCGTTTAGTCCGTGTCCGACTCTTCGTGACCCCATGGACCAGAGCACGCCAGGCACTCCTGTCTTCCACCGCCTCCCGCAGTTTGGTCAGGCTCAAGTTTGTAGCTTCGAGAACACTATCCAACCATCTCATCCTCTGTCGTCCCCTTCTCCTTGTGCCCTCCATCTTTCCCAACATCAGGGTCTTTTCCAGGGAGTCTTCTCTTCTCATGAGGTGGCCAAAGTATTGGAGCCTCAACTTCACGATCTGTCCTTCCAGTGAGCACTCAGGTCTGATTTCCTTAAGAATGGATGTGTTTGATCTTCTTGCAGTCCATGAGACTCTCAAGAGTCTCCTCCAGCACCATAATTCAAAAGCATCAATTCTTCGGCGATCAGCCTTCTTTATGGTCCAGCTCTCACTTCCATACATCACTACTGGGAAAACCATGGCTTTAACTATACGGACCTTTGTTGGTAAGGTGATGTCTCTACTTTTTAAGATGTTGTCTAGATTTGCCATCGCCTTTCTCCCCAAGGAGCAGGCGTCTTTTAATTTCGTGACTGCTGTCACCATCTGCAGTGATCATGGAGCCCAAGAAATTAATCACCTTTTATACCAATCGCATTGGTCTTTGAAAGATGATTAGACAAACTCACAGAGGAGAGGGCTATTGATGGCCATAAGCCACGGCTGTGCTCTTTTGCCACAGCTGGAGGCAGCATTGCTTCTGAATACCAGTTGCTGGAAACCACAGGAGGGGAAGAGTGGTCTTGTGTTCAAATCCTGCTTGCAGGTTTCCCATGAGCCTCTGTTTGGCCACTGTGAAAAAAGGATGCTGGACTAGATGGGCCATTGGCCTGATCCAGCAGCCTTTGGGGAGGGAAAAGATTCCTGTGACCTTTGTTTATAGATACAGTGGTACCTCAGGTTACAGACACTTCAGGTTACATACACTTCAGGTTACAGACTCCGCTAACCCAGAAATAGTGCTTCAGGTTAAGAACTTTACTTCAGGATGAGAACAGAAATTGTGCTCCGGCAGCACGGCGGCAGCAGAAGGCCCCATTAGCTTAAGTGGTGCTTCAGGTTAAGAACAGTTCAGGTTAAGAACAGACCTCCGGAACGAATTAAGTACTTAACCCGAGGTACCACTGTATACTCTCGGGGAGCTCCCCTTTTGTTTTGGCTGCCCTCACAGAGAAATGTTTTTACAGATTCCTCAACACTCAACAACCCTCTAAGGCAGAGATTTCGCCTTTTGCACCTAACCAGTTTCAGCCGAAGGGGTGCCAGGGAGAGTGTGAGACTCATTATTTCATCAAAATATGTGTGTGGTTATTACCACGAAGCAAGTGCCGGTAACATGCTTTCCGCCTCCAGGGTGTGTGGAGTCACTCAGTTTACAGGTTGCTCCCTACACAGCCTGCCAAAAAGCTCTGAGCCTTCTGCAAGCTTCCTCCGGCCTAGACAACCTGAAGGGGTGTTGTAAGAGGAGAGCCTCAGGCGGGGCGAGAGTTTCGGTGCTGGTGCGTGGGCTTGTACATGCTGCATGTGTGCAAGAGCATGGCAAGGGGGCGGGGACATGGATTCTGCCCCAAGGATTAGGCCTCATCCCGTGGGTTTATCAGATGTGAATCACATCAGTCGGGAGCGCGTTCCTCTTTGCACTTGCGAGTTGGCGTGCAGCGCTGCAGGGAGGTGAACCGCCATCAAGTGTGTGGTCTGTGCGGCGTCTTTTGAGTGAGTAGAAGAGTGGATTTGGGGTTGACCTCCCGGTTGGTGTGTCACCGAGGCCTGTCCCTGTGCCTTGCAGCTGTGGAGAAAAGCTCTCCAGGTGCCACTTTTTTCGCCCACCTGCGACTGATGCAGTTCTACCTACAAGAGTGCTTTGAGAGTTCGACTTTAATGCTGTGCAGCAGGCAGAAATTTAACAGGTGAGCCTTATTTATTTCTTCGTTCCCATGCCATTGCATTCTTGTGCTGAATGTATTCCTGTCATGGAGGCACCTGACAAAGAATACATGGCAATCCTGAGGCAACATGGCCCAATGGAAAACAGAAACCCGCAGGGCACCTGCCCCTTTAAAAGAGGGAATTTCAGTAGGTCGCGTAGGAAGGGGCAAAGCTGTCTATTTTGGTTTCTTTCAGTTTCTCATTTTTCCAGTCTTCAGTTCACCACATAAGTTTGCTTAACAAACAACAACAACAAAGTCATTTTAGTGTGAATTTCTCCTAACATTCACTAGTGCATGCCGTTTTCCGTAATATACACACATCTGCAAACCAATGTCCCCATATATAACACATTTTTAAAGCTCATTTTCACCTAATGCATGCCTTTTGAGGCACACTTTTTACCCTGACATATCATACACATTTACTTGGTTGGAGAACTGCATTGCAAAATTCAGAGAATTGCACCTTTCGAAATATACAGCTTGTCCAAATTTTCGCAGAGAAAACCTGCTGAATCGGAACAGCTACCAATAGTTTTCTTTTCTTGCATTGCTTCAGAAATAGGTAGGTTCGCTTTTAAATGTGAGCTGAATGTGAGCTACCCCCTCCCTAAGCAGGTGTAGGTTGTTGTGAAAGCTTCACCTGCTGAAATTCCCTCTTTTACACAACTATTAAAGGCGCAGCTGCATTGCTTGTGTGCGTGCGTGCGCACATCTGGTCACCCTTCGCTGAGGTCCTGGGAGCATTGACTGTGTGTGTGTCTTGGCGTGAGTCATGTGTTCTGTTCTTCCTGTGTGTTCCAGAGGTGGGGAACCTGTAGCCCTCCAGATGTTGTTGGATTCCAACTCCTTCCTGAATTCTCCCATCAGTCCCAGCCAGCATAGCTGATGGTCAGGGATGAGAGGGGGGTGTGTGCAGTCCATCAAATCTAGAGGCCCACCTGTTCCTGGTCCCTGTTGCGCACCTGCAATACTTTCAGACCCATTATCATTTCCCTTTCTTTTGG